GCCGCCCATGGAGAAGCCGGAGGTGGTGAAGACGCACCTGCGCGACATGATCATCCTGCCCGAGATGGTGGGCAGCATGGTGGGCGTCTACAATGGCAAGACTTTCAACCAGGTGGAAATCAAGGTGCGTGTGGGCTGTGCTGGGCCGGGGTGGGCGGGGCGTGGCCACCCACGCCCGCCTGACCACCCTGCTCCCTTCTTCCTCAGCCTGAGATGATCGGCCACTACCTAGGCGAGTTCTCCATCACCTACAAGCCTGTGAAGCATGGCCGGCCCGGCATTGGGGCCACCCACTCCTCCCGCTTCATCCCCCTTAAGTAGGCTGCTGGCCAATAAAGGTAGAGACTCGTCTAGTCCCGAGTGCGACCAGTCCTTCCCACGTGTGGTGCTTCCGGTCCACCCCCCAGGGAAGGGGGCTGGGCCTGGTCACAAAACCTGGAGGCTCAGGTGGGTCACGGGCCATTGTTGGACAGCGTGTGGCCCTGGGTTTCCTGCTGTAGACACAGCCCCTCCGGTAGGCTGAGGCTAGGGAATGGGTGGGTTGGGCTCTGTGCTAAGTCCCGGGATGTCCAGGGGCCTGCGCTGCCTGCATCGGTGCCTCCTCTCGGCTCTCCCTGTGCTCCTGATCAGCTTCCGAAAACCACAGTAACTCCGGGGCCCCGAGCCTTGGATTGAGCCTTCCTGGGGTGTCCTGTGGGTGGGGTCTCCACCGTGTTCCCTAAGTCTTCCTGGTCAGATCTTGTTTCCTTCACGATGGGAAAGATGGCAGATGCCCCAGTGGATGGACAGGCACCGTGACTGTCCAAGTAGCAGTGAGGCCCTGAGGGGTCCCTACGACTTGCTGATGGGATGTGGAAGAAAGTGGATGGGACTCCCAGGTTCTGGCCTGAGCTACTGGAAGGCTGGAGTTGCCATCAGCCAAGGTGGGGAGCAGGGGGGTGTCCTGCAGGTGGCCTTTAGGCACCCAAGTCTGCACCTCAGTTTAGAATGTGAGGGGTGGCCACAGTCCAGCCATGGAGGTGGGGAGGAGATGGTTGAAAGGAGCTTCTCCCCCTGTGACTGCTGCTCTGGGCTCCTTTTCCGGAATTTCAGTTTTAACGTAATTTGCTTGTACTGTTATATCTTGGTTTGGAGTTAAATTGAACAGAAAGCACAGCTCATCATGTGTAACCTCGAGTGGAGAAGGCAGGACACAGATTGCGTGACAGGATTAAGCACTCGGGTTGGCCCAGTTTGGCAGAAGGACCCAAGTGCTGAGACTAGATTCTCTGCAGTCTGTTTTATGTCCCTGATTCATGGAGGGCTCCTTTAAACCCTTAAGGAGAAGAGAGCAACCCGTTAGGAACAGGGCTGATGTATAAACAGACAGACGTCAAAATGCTGCTGGACCTCTAGTTCCTAACGCGCACATGCCAGGAGCCAGAGCCCTGCAGAAACCATGAGCTTCCGTGGGCTGAGAAAGGACAGGTGGGCCTGACCTACACCTGGCAGGAGGGAAGGATGAGTGGGGAAGGCAGCCCGTGGGTCCAGCGCACTAGATAGGACACCTGGGTGATGGCAAAGGTGAGAAGTGAGGGGCTGGCAGCCCATTCAATGGATAGAACACTGACACACTTGTGGATGGCCCCCTGAACCTGATCGGGCTTCAGAAGAACCAGCTAGAAACTTGAATACATCACGTGAGGCTTGGGTGTCAGGTGAGATTAGCTGTCTGCCTCGCAGTGAGTTTAAAGGCCTTTGTGAGGGCTGCCATGGAAGGTCTCTGGGCAACATGGACCAGATTCACTTCAGTCAGAACAGGACCTGCCTGCCCGGCCCCACAACTGGAAAGGAAGTAGGTAGCCTCCCTCCACTGTAGCCTCAGTTGTCTTTTTGGAAATTCCATAATTTAAAAGAGCAATTGGGCTTTACCTGGTGGCGTAGTGGTTAAGAATCCGCCTGCCAACGCAGGGGACACCGGTTACAGCCCTGGTGGGGAAAGATCCCACATACCGCGGAGCAACTAAGCCCTGTGCCACAACTACCGAGCCCGCGCACCTAGAGCCCGTGCTCCACAACGAGAGAAGCCACCACAATGAGAAGCCCGTGCACTGCAACGAAGAGTCGCCCCTGCTCGCCACAACTGGAGAAAGCCTGCGCAGTAACAAAGACCCAGCGCAGCCAAAAAAACAACTTCCCTGGTTGTGCAGTGTTTAAGAACCTGCCTGCCAATGCAGGGGACACGGGTCCGAGCCCTGGTCCAGGAAGATCCCACATGCTGTCGAGCAACTAAGTCCACGTGCCACAACTACTGAGCCTGTGCTCTAGAGCCCATGAGTCACAACTACTGAAGCCTGTGTGCCACAACTACTGAAGTCCGGGAGTCCTAGAGCCTGTGCTCTGCAACGAGAGAAACCACCGCAACGAGAAGCCCATGTGCCGCAACTAGAGAAAGCCCGCGTGCAGCAACAAAGACCAACACAGCCATAAGTAAATCAATAAATATTTTAAAAAGGAAAGATAAAGCAATTGCTGAAGTAAACACGTTTTTTACATTGGATTGGAAGAGTAGAGAGGAATGCCCTGGGCGAATCCGACCCTTCGCAGGGAGGTGGTTTTTGACCCTTAGCACGAAAAGCTGTACAAACGTGCGTAACTTTGGAGCTGCTAGGCCCTCCTGCAGGAGCAAAATGCATGTGCCAGGGGTGTGAGCCCCTCCATCTTGCGGAGTGGAACTGTGCTGGTGGAAGTGGGGATGGGTGCTGCCCGGGGTGTGCAAACATTGCCATCTGTTTGTAAATAAAGTGTTATTGGCACACAGACATACCCATTCATATTCATTCCGGTGCTTTCCTGGCCTGCGGAGTCAAAGTTACTGACTGAACCTTTAGCACAGAGTTTCTTGTTTTGTAAAAATGAGCAGGACCCTCCCTGGGACAGCAGCATTGGTGTGACCCCTCATCAGGCCCCCTGTAACCAGGGTCACCTTTTGAGCGTTCACAGGAAGCTTCCAGCCTGGCCACCACAGGTCACCGGGGTGGGCTTAGGGCAGGAGTGGCAATGATCATCACTTTAATTTTCTGCAGTTTGTATAATAGTTACGTAAGATTAGGAGACTGCATATTAGTATTGTTTCGAACACCTCGTCTAATCCAGACTGCGGCGCGCACTGTAGCCGCCAGGTGGCGCCTGAATCTTGGAGTACTATCGGGGCGGTACAGGGGGCGAGGCAGGAGTCCTTGTGGACCCGGACGCCCCCGCCCAGCCCTTCTGTCTGGTGGCGGCCCGGGCTCCGCCTTCAGGCCGCGCTACGTTCCTGCTTCTTTGTCCCGTCCCTCCTGAATCTGTCCTGGGCCCCTGAAGCCTGCGCGCCATCTCCACCATCTCAGAGGCAACTCCCTCGCTGGGGCTCGGGGCTCTACACCCCTCTCCCACCCCCGTCGGCCAGCTAGCTTCAGAACCTAACTTGCGTCTGCCGCTTCCCACCGCCCCACTGCTACCACCCTGGCCAGCCCTCCACCATCTCCCACCTGGACGTCAATTTAATGCGTGTCATCCTCCTGGGATCTCCCCAGGCTCCAGAAGAACGCCCAGGGTCCGCCGCGGCCCAGGAAGCCCCGCCCCCCGCTGTTCCTCGGCCTCTCCCAACCAGGTCCCACCTCCCAGCCTCCCCACGGGCTCCACTCTCCGCCGGACGCCCTTCCCGCTGATTCCCGGCACCTGCTTGCGGAGGCCGGCCCTCACCATCCCGGCCACAGTAGCGCCCCTTTCTCTCGCCGCTTGTTCTCTACTCCCCAGGACTTAGCAGAGCTCGTGATAACGCCCCCTCCGCCACTCCCACCGTCCCTTTCCATCCCCCCCCCCTCCCCCCCCCCCCCACCCCCCCCCACCCTCCCCATCTCCCCCACCCCATCCCTCCCGGACGCCCTCAGTCGCCCCAGACCCCGCCTCGTCTCCCGGCACCTCCCACGGCCTGTTCTCCCCGAAGCCGCCAGAGGGCGCGTGTGAGCAGCGAGCGGGGCGCGTCCCTGCTCTGCCCGCCGCCCTGGGGGCTGGCTCCCTCGTCCCCCCACCCCGGCGCTGCACGGCCTGACCCGCCCAGTCCCCTCCTCGTCCTCACCTCCTGCCCCTCCCTTTGCGCTAGCGGTTGATTCTGCCGGGATGCTCTTCTCTCTTGGGTCACCCCTCAGGTCTCCACTCAAGTGCCCTTCCTAGTAGCCCCCCACGCCCCCCACCTCCCCTGCTGTTTCCTCCTCAGCGCCCACTTCTAGCCAACATGTTCTCCTGTTGACTATCGGTCCCTCTCCCCCCAGTGTCAGCTTCCCACGGTCAGGGGCTTTGACTATTTTGTTCACTGCATAGGGCCCAGCACGCAGTAGGTGTTTAAGTGTTTGGTAAATGACTGAAAGTTGGTTTACGTGTGGTGTCGCCCACCAGTCCCCCGCGTGCCCAGCGCCCAGTTCAGAGCCCGGCAAGCAGCAGGCGCGCAGTCAACGTTTGCTGAATGACTAATGAACGGAACGCGCGGCCCCGGCCACTGCAGGGACACTGTCCAAGCGGGCAGCCGACTGAGGCCGAAGGGCGGCGCCCCCCTACGTCCCTTCGAGATCTTCGTCCTCCAGGGGACCCCTCCTACCCCGGGCCCACTTCCCAACACCGGACCGCCTCTCCAGCTCCCGTGAGAGCCCCTCCCTGCTCTTCCCCCGCCCCCAGGGACCCCTCCCGCGCCTCTCTAGGGCTCCCCAACCCCGTTGGACCCCCGCCCCTCCCCCCTCCTTCTCCGCTCACGCTGGTCCCCGCCCCCATCTCCCTCACTCGGTATCTCCTCACGCCGCCCCTCCCAAGTCCTCAGTCCCTCGAGACTCCCTTCCCCCGCCCGGGAGGGCCCCCCAGTTACCCCCTCTTTCGCCCCCTTCGCGTTAGAGTCCCCGCCTGCCCCGCCGTGTGACCCCCCTCTCAGTCCCTTGCTCCGCGCAGGCGCAGGCTTCCCGGCCCGTCCCTCCCACCCCCACCCCCGGCGGCCGAGGGGCGGGGCGCAGACTGATTGAGGCGGCCGCGGCTCCATGGGGCTCCTGGGGCTGCTGAGCCTGCTGCACTCGGCCTTCTTCGGGGACCAGGTAGGGCGCGGGGGTCCCGGCCGCGGGGCGTGGGGTCTGGCCGTGGGCGCGGCTGGGGCGGGAGAGCCGCAGCCCGGAATGGGGTGAGGACCGCGGGAACGGTGGTCGCGGCAGCGGGAGGCGCAAGGGCACGCGCAGGGAATCGCCAAGGGTCTGGGGTCTCGCGCAGTCGCTGTGGAGACCGTTGCCAGGGAAACCGCCTCAGGTTGTTCGCAGGGCTGGCAGCCCCTCCCCCGCGCCGCAGCCACAGTCCCCCCCCCCACTCCGGGTTTGCGCAGGCGCGGCCACGCCGGGCCCAGCCTTCTGCCTCCGAGACAGACCCCCGGACCCCTCCTCATTGCGCAGACCAGAAGACTGGCTACGGCGGGAGGGCTGCGGCGGGGGCGCTGCGGCGAGGACTCGCTCTGCCGAGGCTCCGCCGTGCGCAGGCGGGTGGGGGACCGTGCCACGCCCTACAGCTCTCCAGGCCTCAGTTTCCCCTTCTGGCCGCAGAGCGTAGGGCTGACTTAGATGTTCGCCCACGCGGATGTCCATAGTAATATCCATCCCATCGGGCCCGAGCGCTTTGCTGGCCTCCGAAATCTGAATTCTGGGGCTATAACATCCCCTCTTTAAGAGAAACTGAGGCTGGGAGGGTGCTGCGGGGAGCCCAAGGTCACGCCTCGAGCTGGGCTGGAGCCTGAGCGCGGGGCGGAGGCGCCCGCAGAGGGCACAGCCCAGAGGCCGGCGGGAGCTGTCCGCGGTGCTGAAGGAGCCTCGAGCCCGTCCGCTCCACGCCCGGGAAACTGAGGCCCAGAACCGTGGTCAGGCGACCCATCCCGGGTCGGGATTCGGGGACGCGGCCTGGACCAGCCGGCCCCACCCCTCCCCCACCTCCAGTGGCATTCTCTCCTCACCTGTCAGGGCCCTGCCCAGTCACCCAGCCTGAGCCCGTCTCTGTGATCTCATGACCACCTGCTGCCTTCCTGCTCCCCTGTCCCCCACCCCCATCCAGCTCCGAGTCGGGGGACGCTCCTGGTTCCGCCCCCGGCCCCTGACACGGCGGAGGCTCAGTGGGGAAGGGGGGGGCGAATCAAGGGGGCAGAGATGCCCGGGGTCAGGCTCAGAAGGCCCAAGAATGAACCTGGCTGTGTGCCAGGCTCGGGGGGCGTTGTTTTATGGTGGCGATGGGGAGAATCGAGCCCTGTGCAGTAGAGGGAGCAGACGATACCAGGGAGGGAGACTGGGAAGAGGCCCCCCACTAGACCTTGGCACCCCGAGATTGGGCCTGGGGTCCTGGGAGGCTCTGAGGGTTCCGAAGGCTCTTGTCTTTCTAGAATTTACAGTGATGCCCGATTCTGGCTGTGGCTCAAAGATTTACAGGGTCAAGGATTTGGGGTGGTGTCAGGGACGTGATGTTCCAGAGGCTTGCGGACAAGGGCATTTTGCCTTGGGGTCTCAGCCCTCATGTGCTCTCAACCTTCCAGGCCCCAGCCCCACCCAGAGTGGTGAGGAACGCCCAGGGAGGGCCTGGTTGGGCTTGCACATGAACTCAAGCAACATGCTCCCTGCCCTGAGCGTCAGTTTTCCCCTGTGAATGAGGACAAGACTGGCCATTGGACCCTCCAAGCCCCCTGCCAGCTCTAACGTTCTGGCTGAGAGGGGCCTGGAGAGCAGTGGCATCTAAGACTGGATGGGGGAGCTGAGACTTCGTCCCATGGGTGTTGGGGCAGGGATTCTCTAACCACCTCCCAGTGAACAAAATGGGAAACTGAGGCCATGCCCCAGGTCATGCAGGGGAGTCAAGGTGGAGCTGAAGTCGGCCCTGGGCTCTGTCCTCTCCCCGCCCCCATTCCAGCTTTGCCCAGTCTGCCCTGCTTTCCCGTGGTCAGCTCAGCCCCAGGACTCCTCCTCCTCTAAACGCCGCATCAGTTCCCTGGTCCAGCCCCACCACCGAAGTCCATATGCCTTGAGTGGGCTCTGATCTCTCCTGGCTCCAGGCATTGTATGTGCTGTTCCCTCAGCCTGGAATGCTTTTCCCCTCCTTGATCCCATGCCCAGCTCTGATTCATGCTGAAGAGGCCCAGCACCGGTGTCCCCTTCTCAGTGCAGCCTTCCCAGCCTCTGGAAAGAGCCCTTCTGCCCATTGCACTCGCTCCCGGGTCCCACAGGCTGGGGGCGGCTGTGTTTGGCTCCGGAGGCTCTGGAACACCCAAGGTCCAAGTTCTTTCGGCGCCTCCAGTGTTTTTGTCCCAGGGTGGGACACAAGGGGCCTCCTGCAGCCGGCCCAACAGGAGACACCATGGTGGCCGTGGTCCTTGTGTCCTTGGCTGCCCCTCCTGTCCTGTCCTTCCCTGCACCAGCCCTTACAAAGGCTGCAGCCACCTCCCGATTTTACAGAGGGAGAAACTGAGGGTCTCCAGGTGAACGACCTGCCCTGGCCCCCCAGCCAAGAGAAGAGAGAGGCAAGCCCCAAAGCCATGTCTTCTTCGTCCTTTGGGCAGCAGGCGGCCTGAGCTGCAGCTGCAGATTCGGCCTCTGGGTGTTAAACCCTCAAGTGGCCTCCGGGGACCTACTGACGATCTGAGACAGCTGGGGACGGGTACTCCTGGGAGCTCAGCCCCCTCCCTCTGCTGGCTTCCCTTGTGCGAGGGTGAATTATGGGTCCCACAGGGGACAGACACAGAGAGTCAGAGATTCAGAGAATGTAGGAAGGGCCACGGAGTCACGGAGGCGCTGACACTCTGCCAGGCAGGGGGACAGGGAGAGATGTAGGGTCCCAGCGTGCCTGCCCATCCCCCACGCTCACCCCCCATGTCAGCCAGGACGCTCGACGGGGTGGTCCAGCTAGATCCCCAACCCTGGCCTGCCCTGACCCATCGGATCCAGGCCAGGCCGTATCCGTGGAGAGGGGCTTCCTGCCCCGCCCCTGGAGCTTCCCTCCCTCCACCCTAAGGTTCTGATGTAACACCCAAAACTGGATGGCTTACACTCATATTCTGCAGATCCAGCCACTGCAGGTTCTGAAACGCCATTTCACCCCGAATGGAGTGGAGGCCTGGAGTGGAGGACACAAGGTCATGGTCATTGGGAGGCTCCCTTCCCTAAGGGGTATTCACCCATACACACACGCACGCACACACACACACACACCCCGCCGAACCCGCTCGGAGGCCCGAAGCCCCGCACCCGCCGGCGGTCCCAGCCCCGGGCCGCCATTGGCTGTTGCCATGGCACCAGCCCATCTTCCCGTGCCGCCATTGGCCGCCGCGCCTGCATCCCGCATCCTCCCCCGCTCGCGGTGGTCTCGCCCAGCGCCCGGAGTGGCGGCGCCGCCTGGCGAGGCCCGGACTGGGCTTTGTCTAACGCGGAGTCCTCGTCCGCCCCGCCGAAACCCCGGAGCCCTGGAGCCCGCGCCCCGCGGCCGCCCCAGCCCCGGAGGACTGGGAACTTGGGCGGGGCCGGCGTAGCTGCGCGGAGGGAGGAACCCCCAGGCCCTCGGCACCGCAGCCAGCCCAACCCCAGTGAGATAAAGTAAGCGGGCGCCTTCCCTGGGTGGAGGGCAGCGCGGGTGCGGCCTCCGCCTTGCCGGAGTCTCTGTCCTTTTCTCTCTGCCGCGCCTGTAAGCACACAGGCTGGAGCCTCCGTTTCTTCAGGGCGGAGCCAGAGGAGAAACTGTGTCCCAGGGAGGTGGGCGTCTGCGTCGCTGCAGTTGATCCCACGCAAACACCCACTCACAGGTGTCAATACCCAGACCTCCCAGAGTCTTCGGACAAGACACTGTGTGTCTTGGGGAATGGTGCTGCACCTCTCTGTCATTCAGACAAAACCCCTAGCTATTGGTGCTTTCCTATCGGTGCACACATATCGGATGCGGTCCCCCGAGGCAGCCTGGGGGTGAGGGGCAGGCAGGAGGGAGGAGGTGGCCTTGTGACGATGGCAGGAGTTAGGAGAGGTGCTCCGGGCAGGAGAACTGCATGTGAAATGGCCTGGGGGAAAGAGAGCTGCCGGTGGCAGTGATGCGGGCTGTATGCAGAGGGCTCACAGCTTATGCTGAGGGCACTGGGGAGCCGTGGAGGCATTTGCGCAGGGGAGAAATGGAATCCAACTCGCAACTTTCCCTCTGTCTGTGCATGAAAAGGGGATCGTGGGAGGCCGGGAAGAGGCTGGCGAGGCTGCCCTGGGAGGGGCCAGCTGGGTAGAGCTTGAGGAGCTGGTGGGAGTGTGGTGTTGGGGACCCAGGTTGGAATGGGAGGGAGCCTGATGCGTGGCCCTGCTACCAAGTTCAGTCTGATGGGGACGCAGGAGTGACCACTGGGTCACTCCTGTGGGGGGAATGAAAGGTCTGAGGCTCTGTCTGGGCCATTCCAGAAGAGCTCCTTGGGGGCAGCCTGGGGAGAGGGCCCCAGGAGGGGTCTGGGTTTGCCGAGTGGGAGGGGCATGCACGGGACTAGTGCTTCCCCCTGGCTGGGCATGGCATGGTGGCCTCAGCCAGGACACAGGGCCCCAGTCGGACCCCAGGGATCTTGCTACAGCGCCAGTGGGTCCTGATCCCCAGCTGGGACCCCCGACTGAACCTCGGGCAGGATCAGTATCAGGGTAAGAGAGGGGACTGTGGTCCTCAGGCGCCAGCCTCCCCCACCTGACACACTGTCACCCATGGGACTGTCCTGTCTGCTCCATGACCACCATCCCACCTGGCCCTCTAGTTGGCCCATAAGATAAGCCTGGTAGACCGAGTTCTCCCCATTCCTCAGATGTGCAAACCGAGGCCTGCAGCGGGGGAGGGGCTTGTGTGCTTCCAGCACTGCCTGGACTTGTGACCACTTCCAGGACAGTGTCTGGGTCCCAGTCATGCCTGCTGCGTCCCCCCAGGCTCAGTTTCTCTCTCTGGGAACAGTCGAATGCTGATCCTTGAGGCTCAAGGCTCAGGACTGTGACAAGGTGTCAGATGACAAGGCCAGGCACGCAGTAGGTCCTCTGAGTGGTTAGAATGGACTGACTCCTCCTTGGGGCCGAGCCCCCCCTACCCCTACTCCAGGCCCAGCTGTGCCCACAGTGGGTGGGGGGGCTCCTGGGGGGAAGGAGAGGGAGAATGAGTGAGCGAGTGAAGGAATGGGTGTGCCCCGGTGGTGGAGGGAGAGGGAAGGGGCAGGTGCCCCCCTGTGGGCAGGGGCGGCTGACTGATTTGGGGAGGGGGCTCAGGCGGGCAGGGGGAGGGGGCTCCCAGGGAGGAGGTGGCAGAGGGGATGGGCTGCCATTGGTGCATCTCAGACAAAGGCGGAGGGAGGGGGTGAGGGCTGATGGGAAGGGAACAAAGAGGAAAGGGGGGCCGGTGGTGGGACGGCTCGGTCAAGAGGGCCAAGCCAGGGAGGAGACACCGGCTAGCTGGACAGAGGGAGGAGGCTGGGCTGTAGCAAGAAGGGCAGCCAGACACACAAAGAGCAAGTGGCAGTGGCGGCTCCAGGGGCGGGGGCAGGGGCCTCCGGGGGCTCTAGGGACAGAGGGCTGACCGGAGGGGCATCAGGGCCGAGCAGGTAGCTACTCCGGATCCAGCTGCTGCTGGAGGGGGTGTCCAGGCTGCAGACCCCCAGGATGACTACGGTGGGTTTGTGTCTGGCTGGCTGGCTGTCCAGCTGCTGGGGCCACCATCAGCCCGTCCATCGCTTTCTTAGAACCTTCACGGCGTTCTTATTGGCCAGCATCTGGGCCAGCTGGTAGTCTGTCCACCCAGCCTCTGGGCGGCTGTGCTCATTCAGGAGAGGGTCTTGGCTGTCCGTCCATCTGTCTGTTTGTCTCTCTCTCTCTGGCTGTGTGTCTCTGAGCCTGGTGGCATTGGACTGGTGAGTCCCCCTGCCAGTTTCAACTGTCTGGCTGTCCGTCTGTGTGTCTAAAAGCCCCACAGTGAGGGCCAGTGTCTGTCTGTGTCTTGTCTGTTGGTCAGTTCAGCTGTCTGTCTGAACACCTCTCCGACAGTTCTGTCCCTCTGTCTCCCGTTGTCCCTGCCTATGTCCGTCACTCCACCTGCCAGGCCGTCTGTCCACCAGATTCCCTGGGCCAGCACCATCCCGCCTGCAGCAGTCCACGCCAGCCACCCCTGCCTGAGACCCAACCCAGGGCTGGAACTTAGGTCGAGGGCTGCCCCCTACCCAGACCCTCAGATCATCCCTCTCTCCTGTGGGCCCAGGCGCTGCAGGAGCTGAAGATGACGAGCTCCGTGGCGCCCTACGAGCAGCTGGTGCGGCAGGTGGAGGCCTTGAAGGCCGAGAACAGTCACCTGAGGCAGGAGCTTCGGGATAACTCAAGCCACTTGTCCAAGCTGGAGACAGAAACGTCGGGCATGAAGGTGCGAGGGGAGGCTGGGCGGAGGACGTGGACCCGGGTCACAGGGACAAACATCAGGGCGCTGGGCCCAGGGATGGGCAGGCAGGACAGGGGCATCTCAGAGGGGGCTGGACCACTGACCGCTCTCTTTCCGTCCTCCATGTTCAGGAGGTCCTGAAGCACTTGCAGGGCAAGCTGGAGCAGGAGGCCCGTGTGCTGGTGTCCTCGGGGCAGACCGAGGTGCTGGAGCAGCTGAAAGGTGAGGGGCTGGCCTGGGGACCCCCCCCCCGCACGTTGGGGCCAACCCTGGTCTGCTTCCTGCGGGAGCTGGGAGGAGGGGGCGCAGGGGGCGTGCTGACGTCAGCCTCTCCCTCTGCGCCCATCCAGCCCTGCAGATGGACATCACCAGCCTGTACAACCTCAAGTTCCAGCCCCCGGCTCTGGTCCCTGAGCCCACTGCCCGGACCCCCGAGGGAAGCCCGGTGCACAGCTCTGGGCCCTCCAAGGACAGCTTTGGGGAGCTGAGCCGGGCCACCATCCAGCTGCTGGAGGAACTGGACCGGGAACGGTGAGATGGTGGGGAACCTTGCCACAGGCAGTGGTCACAAGGCTCCACCCACATCATGAGCCCCCTTGCCCACTCCCTGCCCCATCCCCATGTGGTGCCTCAGCCCCCTTTCCTGGCCCAACTGACCTCAGCTGGAGGACAAGGGCGGGGGGGGGGTGTTCCTGGCAGAGGGGAAGGCTCCTGGGAGACGTCCCCAGGGGTCCTGGACACACAGGCGTCACCAGGGACAGGGCTGTGTCCAGTGCCAGGGCTCACAGTCAGGCCTGGAGCCAGAGAGACTCAAGGCAGCCTTTGTGGAGAAAGGGCTGCGGCCCAAGAAACCTGGGCTTGAGGCCAGAAGGAGGAGGCAGGGTCTGGGTGCCTAGCTCAGCTCAGCTGTGTTGTGTGCGGTCAGACAGGGAAGTTCTGGAGCAGCCTGGAGTTAAGTCCATGCTTTGCTGTCTGACCTCAAGCAAGAACTCTAGCCCCTGCCAGCCTCAGACTTCTGCTCTGTAAAATGGGAATAGCAGTGTCTCCTCACAGGGTGTGAAGAGGGAGACTCTACTGCACCTGGAGCAATCCGAGCCTGAAGTTTGCCCTGTGTAGGCTAGAGGGAGATTAGCCGGTGTTCGAGAGGTGTTAGAACAGCCTCCTCAGAGCCTTTCTCCGAGGACCAAAATTTACAAAAGAGTTACCTTTTTTACTTTCAAATAATTTCTGCACTCCATCCCCACCCCAGTGCCAGGGGCACCACGGGCGAGACTTTGCCACACTACCTATTAAACTTGGCACCCAGTAAGCACCCCAGAAGTGATTACGAAAGTCAGGGTAAACAAACACATGGCAACGTCTCCCGCTCCGTGAGCCCGCGTCCACCGACCGGCCCTCCGCCAGGTGTTTCCTATTGAATGAGATCGAGAAGGAGGAGAAGGAGAAGCTCTGGTATTACTCGCAGCTGCAGGGCCTATCCAAGCGCCTGGACGAACTCCCGCACGTGGAGACGGTGAGCGCGCGGAGCTGCCCGGGATTTTGCAGTGCCCCGCCCCGCCCCGCCCCGCCCCGCCCATGGCGGGGGGCGGAGTGGAGCGGAGGCCCAGCCCTCGCCCGGGTATCGCCCCCCCTCAACTCACCGAGGCCCACCCGCCCCTCCCAGCAGTTCTCGATGCAGATGGATCTGATCCGGCAGCAGCTGGAGTTCGAAGCCCAGCACATCCGCTCGCTGATGGAGGAGCGCTTCGGCACCTCGGACGAGATGGTGCAGCGGGCGCAGGTGCGGCTGGGGCGGAGCCTGGGCGGAGCCATACGCCAGCGGGAGGATCAGAGCGCAGATATTGTTGTGGGAGGGGCGCAGATATTGTTAATGGGCGGGGTTATATGCCTGCGGGCGAATCAGAGGACAGAGACTCCTGCGGGTGGGGCCTGACGCAGGAAGCGGAGCCAGAGTTAAGAGCTGAGTGTGAGCGGAGCCGTAGGGGGCTTAGCGCAGACCCCCGCTCAGAGAAGAGTCCCAGAACGATAGGGACGGGGCCACCAGTGCGAGGAACCGTGTCTGACCAGGACTTGGGCGTTGACAGTCAAATGGCGGGACCAAGTCAGAAAATAGGTGGGTCCGGAGGGATGGCCTGGGGTTTAAGTTGTGGGCGGGGCCAGAGCCTGGGCTTGAGGGTTGGACCTTGGGTGGGATCAGGAAGTGGAGTCAGATAACTGGGGGTGGGGTGGGGGTGTTGAGAGTGGGTGGGCCATATCAAGGAGGAGGCGGGGTCAGAGCCCAGGGTGGGGTTTTGGCAATGGATGGGGCCAAACCAGGGACTGGGTGGAGTCAGCATGGGGCAGGATTTGGACTGGGGACGGGGCCATATTGGGAGTGTGGGCGGAGTCGGAGCCGGGTGGGATTTCCTCAGTGTGCCCTTTCTCCCACGCAGATCCGTGCTTCCCGCCTGGAGCAGATAGACAAGGAATTGCTGTCGGCACAGGACCGGGTGCAACAGACCGAGCCCCAGGTACCAGGAGGGGCGAAGTCAGAGCCCTAGTGCGTGGTGACAGCCCCAGGCAGCAGGGAGACCCCCGGGCCCTGCCCAGGGTTCAGGAATCCGTCTGCGGCCCCCGCCACATCGTCGTGGGGGTAGGGCAGGCATCAGCAGCCTGGGCGCTTTGTGGGGTGCCCCTGGGCGGAACCCGCAGGCCTGGCGTTCTCCCCACAGGCCTTGCTGGCAGTGAAGTCGATGCCGATGGATGAGGACCCAGAGGCCGAGGTCCCCACGCACCCTGAGGATGGTGCCCCTCAGCCGGGCAACAGCAAGGTGAGGGGAGTCTGGGGGGGGGATGCTGAGAGGCGGGGTGGGGGCAGTGGCGGCCGGCTGGGTTGGGATACACAGTGAAGTGGGTCCTGCATCCCTGCTGCATTTGAAGGCCCCTCCCTCTCCAGGCCTCCCTAAAGCATCCCCAGGTGTGGGAGGGTCATCCTGAGTTGGAGTGAGTCGGGAGGTTGGGTTGTGGTGCGGAGCCTGGCGTGGGTGTGGATACCTGTTCTGTATATTTGAGGGGCACTCTGCACTTAGATGTAGGGGGCCACCCCTAGGAGTACTGGTGAGGCTGATGGGGTGGACATTTGGCTCTCATGGGCTGGGGGCATCTCTGCAGTGGTGTGTGTGTGTGTGTGTGTGTGTGTGTTGCTCCCCGGGAGGATGCAGGGTGAGGGTAGTGGGGTGAGCAAGAGATTCTCCTGGGCTGAAGTCATAGGACTCTCATCCGTTTAGGGGGAGTGCAGGTGGGCCCGTCTGGGGCCAGGTGAGCCAGGCGGGGCTCCCCACCCTGACATCTCCTGCCCCTCGCAGGTGGAGGTGGTCTTCTGGCTGCTGTCCATGCTGGCGACGCGTGACCAGGAGGACACGGCACGGACGCTGCTCGCCATGTCCAGCTCACCTGAGAGCTGCGTGGCCATGCGCCGCTCGGGCTGCCTGCCGCTGCTGCTGCAGATCCTGCACGGCACCGAGGCGGGGGCTGGGGGTCGCAACGGGACCCCAGGGGCGCCGGGAGCCAAGGATGCGCGCATGCGCGCCAACGCAGCGCTGCACAACATCGTCTTCTCCCAGCCGGACCAGGGTCTGGCACGCAAGGAAATGCGCGTCCTGCACGTGCTCGAGCAGATCCGTGCCTACTGTGAGACCTGCTGGGACTGGCTGCAGGCCCGGGACGGTGGGCCCGAGGGCAGCAGCGCCGGCGGCGGTGAGTGAGTGAGCAGCTTCTGTGCGCTGGGCGGCAGCCTGGGCTCCCCGGGGGCCAGGGCAGCACCACTGGCAGTAACAGCGGCCTCTGGCTTTTGCCGGGCACCTGCTCTGTGCCACGCGCCGGCTGAGGCCTCCTGGGAACCTGTGAAGACAGACTGGTAAAGGGATAGCCACAAGGTGGACGCTCAAGAAACGGTCGTTGATTGAATGGATAGATTGTAGTTAACCCTCGAAAGGCGGGGGCAGAGTTTGAGATTCCTAGCTGTTGGGGCCGCCTGCAAAGTTAGTATCAGATGCTAAGCACCAGGCGGGGTGAGGCAGGCCCCCCCCGTTCACTTCAGAGGGGCCGATGCTCTGGGGGTGACCCCGTGCGCCCGGCGGGCAGCACTTTGTAAAGCTCCAGGTCTTGGCAGGTCTGCAGGGTGGAGACTGCAGGGAGGGGCGGGGACCCACCAGGCGACATTTCCTGCAGTGGAAGGGCTCTGACCCGGTCCCCTTGCCCACAGCCCCGGTCCCCATCGAGCCACAGATCTGCCAGGCCACCTGCGCCGTGATGAAGCTGTCCTTCGACGAGGAATACCGCCGTGCCATGAACGAGCTGGGTGAGTGCCCCTCGCCGCCCCTGCGAGCTGGAGCTACCCCCGATCTGGACGGCCTCCGGGCCTCACCCGGTGCAGGGCAGATTCTCGGCACTAGTGGTCCTGGGGCTCAGAGAACAGGGGAGAGGCCGGGAAGGCAGGAGAAAAGGTGAATCGGAGCTACTGGGTGGTCGAGGCGGAGCGACCCTGTGAAGTTTTAGGTTTGGGAGTACTGCAGCATCTTTTCCGCATAAAAGTAATCAAAACATGGGGAAAGGAAACATCAAGGGCCAAACGAGGCACTACTTCTCACCCAGCAGATGGTCAAACCACTCAAAGGTTCTGTAAGGTCTCACGTGGTCCGGCCACATAGACTCGGGCGCTCGAAACCCAATGTGGGTGTGGGGGGGAGCGCCCAGGCGCAGCCTTTCCGGGACGGGCATCTGGAGTGGCAGACATTTTACAAGAGGGCACAGGTCTGGAGTCCTTCCTCCGCCAGCCGGTCCAGGGACGGCTGGAGGTTACCAAGCTCCTTCCGAGAGGCCTGCACACTCAGTGCTATGTTGATAATTCCACGAAGATGCGATCTGCCTTTTTCACTCTCGTGCGCATGTGTGTTCAGAGGGGTTTTTCCAGGCACTCCTACTCTGAGGACCGCTGGGCTGTGCGTTCTGGGGTTAAAAGATTTCTCCGTTTTCATTTCTAGTGTGGTAAATATTTTTTGTTTATTGAAGTATAGTTGATTTACAATATTGTGTTAGTTTCAGGTGTAAAGGGATGCAGTTACATATACATTCTTTTTTCATATTCTTTTCCATTGTGGTTTATCACAGGATATTGAATATGGTTCCCTGTGCTCTACAGTAGGACCTTGTTGTGTATCTATCCTATATATAATAGTTTACATTTGCTAACCCCAACCTCCCACTCCATCCCTCCCCCCAACCCCCTCCCCCCGGCAACCATAAGTCTCTTCTCTGTGCCCATGAGTCTGTTTCTGTTTTGTAGATAAGTTCATTTGTGTCATATTTTAGATGCCACATAAAAGTGAGATCATATGGTATTTGTCTGACATACTTCACTTAGTATGATAATCTCTGGGCTCATCCATGTTGCTGCAAATGGCATTATTTCATTCTTTTTTTTAAGGCCGAGTAATATTCCATTGTATCTATATATACCACATCTTCTTTATCCACTCATCTGTCAATGGACATTTAGGTTGCTTCCATGTCCTGGCTATTGTGAATGGTGCTGCTATGAACACAGGGGCGCATGTGTCTTTTCAAATTATAGTTTTGTCCGGGTATATGCTCAGGAGTGGGATTGCAGGATCATATGGTAGCTCTATTTTTAGTTGTTTAAGGATCCTCCATACTGTTCTCCATAATGGCTGCACCAACTTACATCCCCACCAACAGTGTAGGAGGGTTCCCTTTTCTCCACACCCTCTCCAGCATTTGTTATTTGTAGACGTTTTAACGATGGCCATTCTGACGGGTGTGAGGTGGTAGCTCATGGTAGCTTTTTTTGTGTGTGTGGTAAGCGGGCCTCTCACTGTTGTGGCCTCTCCCGTTGCGGAGCACAGGCTCCGGACGCGCAGGCTCAGCGGCCATGGCTCACGGGCCCAGCCACTCCGTGACATGCGGTATCTTCCCGGACCGGGGCACGAACCCGTGTCCCCTGCATCGGCAGGCGGACTCCCAACCACTGCGCCACCAGGGAAGCCCTCATGGTAGTTTTGATTTGCCTTTCTCTAAGAATTAGTGATGTCGAGCATCTTTGCACGTGCCTCTTGGCCATCTGTATGTCTTCCTTGGAGAAATGTCTATTTAGGTCTTCTGCCCATTTTTCGATTGGGATGTTTGTTTTGTTGTTGGTGGCAGTATGATAAATATTGAGCTGTAACCCAAGTGAACTCTTTGGGGTCCTCAAAAAAATGTTCAGCGTGTACAGGGGTCCCGAGATGGAAATGCTGGCATGTCACTGGTGTCTGTCAGTCAGGCAAGGGATGCGTGATGAGCTGAGTGGCTCATCCAGTGAACGTGCCCCACTCACAGTTCAGTTCAACCTCTTTTTCCCTATTGTTATTTTTTTCCTTTGTGTGGGTTCCCGGGAGTGGAGTTTCCAGATTAAGAAGCAAAAAGGCTTTGGAAGCTCCCCACTCCGACTTATAATTACGTATTTAAACATTTTTAAATTTTAATTTTTTTTGGCCACGCTGCAGAGCTTATGGGATCTTAGTTCCCCAATCAGGGATTGAACCTGGGCCCTCAGCAGTGAAAGCACCGAGTCCTAACCACTGGACTGCCAGGGAATTCCCTAAACATTTTTTTAAACTGTGGTAAATTATATGTAACATAAAATTTACTGTCTTAACCATTTTTAATCTTTTCTTCCCAAACTGAAACCCTGTCCCCATTAACCACTCAGCCCCCCAGCCCCCTCCCCAGCCCCTGGCAACCACGAACCCATGCTGTGTGTCTGTGGTTCTGCCTGTTCTGGATGTTTCCCATCAATGGAATCACACACTCTGTGTCTGGCTTCTCTCTCTGAGCATCGTGTTCTCTGGGTCCGTCCATGTGGTAGCGAGGGTCAGGGCTTCACCCCTTTTCGTGGCTGAGGGACGTCCCCATGTGTGGAGGGACACGGTGTGTTCCTCCGTCATCTGGTGATGGACACTCAGGCCGTTTCCACCTTCTGGCTGTTGTGGCTCGTGCTGCTGTGCACACACACGTACAGGTTCGCTTTGGAAGTTTGTAGGTTTGTGTTGCTAAGCCCCTTCCCCAGGGTGGTCCCCACTGGCGTGCTCTTCAGCAAAACTGCCTCACCGGTCCTGGGTCCCAAGGACGATCCTGTTGCCGAACGAGGGGGAAGGGCTGCGTGTGTTTGGGTTCCTGCAGGTTTTTTCCCTTCTGCTCCCGCTGACCATTTACTCTTTAAAAAAAATTATTTATTTGGCTGCACCAGGTCTTAGTTGCAGCATGCAGAATCTTTTTTTTTTAACTAAAAAATTTTTTTTGGCTGCGTTGGGGTCTTCGTTGCTGCGCGTGGGCTTTCTCTAGTGCGGCAAGCAGGGGCTGCTCTTCGTTGTGGTGCACGGGCTGCTTCTCATTGCGGTGGCTTCTCTTGTTGCGGAGCACGGGCTCTAGGCGCACGGGCTTCAGTAGTTGTGGCACATGGGCTCAGTGGTTGTGGCTCGCGGGCTCTAGAGCGCAGGCTGAATAGTTGTGGCGTACGGGCGTAGTTCCTCCGCGGCATGTGGGATCTTCCCGGACCAGGGCTCGAACCCGTGTCCCCTGCATTGGCAGGTGGATTCTTAACCACTGCACCACCAGGTAAGTCCCCATGCAGAATCTTTTAGTTGGGGCATGCAGGCTTTTAGTTGCAGCATGTGGGATCTAGTTCCCTGACCAGGAATCGAACCCCGGGCACCCCTTGCTTTGGAAGCATGGAGTCTTAACCGCTGGACCACCAGGGAAGTCCCGACCATTTACTCTTTCTAAGGTGAGAACCCAGTTGTCCTAGTGAGTAAAGAACTGTGTGTGCAGGAACCTCCCTGGCGGTCCAGTGGTTAAGACTCCGTGCTTCCACTGCAGGGGCCGCGGGTCTGATCCCGGGTCGGGGAACTAAGATCCCACATGCTGCGTGGATGGCCAAAAAATTAAAAAAGAAAAAAAAAGGAAAAAAAAGTCGCGTGTGTGGGCCATCAGCAGTGGCTCCTGAGCACACGCCGTCTGGTCCGTCCTGGGGACGCAGCGGGGCAGCCACCAGCCCTGCCCTCAGCGGCTTGCTGGCTAATGCTTTGGGAACTTCTCATCTGGGGAGTTGGGGGCTTCCCTGAGGAAGTCACTCTTGAGCAGAAGGGGACTCAGGAAACTGGGCGAACAGTGGGGAAGAGCATCCCGGGCAGAGGGAACAGCATGTGCAAAGGCCCGGCAGCCGGACAAAGTGTGACTGGGGGCTGAGGGCAGAAAAGAGGCGGGCGTGAAGGCGCAGGGCACGCAGGGGGCTGGGCCAGCCAGGCTGCCTGGAGGAGGTGTCCTCAGAGTTGGGCTTCAAAGGTGGGCTTGAGGAGAGCAGATCGGAGGGAGGGGAGGGCGTATGGGTAGAGTGAGCTGCGCGGGCAGAGGCTGGGAGGTGGGCAGGCGGGGTGGTGAGGGGCGCCCCCCTGCCCCCAGCCCTGCCGTGTCCGCACAGGTGGGCTGCAGGCCGTGGCGGAGTTACTGCAGGTCGACTATGAGATGCACAAGATGACCCGGGACCCTCTCAACCTGGCCCTGCGCCGATACGCCGGCATGACCCTCACCAACCTAACCTTCGGGGACGTCGCCAACAAGGTGCCTGGGTGGGCCGGCGGGCGGGCCAGCATCCCCCAGGCCAAGCCCTGCTGGCCTCCTCCCTGCCTCGAAGCAGCACTGAGAGGCGGGGACAGGCGGGGAGACTGAGGCCTGGGGTCCAGGCCACCGTCCTCTTGGCCCCTTTGCCGCCGCCCCTGTGGAGTGGGGGCCTCTGGGCCTGGGCAGGGTGTCTGCGCCTGCCGGAGCCTCAGTCTTCTCATCAGAGCAACAGGGCGAGTGCTCTCCCTCCGCTGTGGTGGTGAAGATGGGGTGGGGGTTGGGGTTCGAGCTCCAGCATGGAGCAGGTGCTCAGTCAACGCGGTAGGTGCCCCCGCCCCACCCCCCGCCACGGCATGACTCCCGTGTCACCCCACAGGCTGCACTGTGCGCCCGCCGGGGCTGCATGGAGGCCATCGTGGCCCAGCTGGCGTCCGAGAGCGAGGAGCTGCACCAGGTACCCGGGGGGCTGCGGTGCTGCCGGGGGCCGGGGGCAACCCTGGGCTCTGCCACCTGCCACCGTGGGGCTTGCGGGTGGGCCCCGTGAGCCACCCTGAAGCCTGGCCCGGGCCCAGACAGCCTGCCCTGCACTCGCCCAGGTGGTGTCCAGCATCCTGCGCAACCTGTCCTGGAGGGCGGACATCAGCAGCAAGAAGGTGCTGAGGGAGGTGGGCAGCATGACGGCCCTGATGCAGTGCGTCCTGCGAGCCTCCAAGGTGGGCACTGGGCGGGGTGCCAGCCACGTGGCTGGGAGGCACCAGCAGCAGGTGGTGAGTTCGCCACCTTGGGGGAAGTCAAGCCAGATGGACAGCCCGCCGCCTGGCAGCGGGTCCAGGCCGGGGGCTTCCAACCCAAAAGATCTTGCTGTGGCCGGTTGTGTTACTTTTTTTTTTTTTTTGCGGTACGCGGGCCTCTCACTGTTGTGGCCTCTCCCGTTGCGGAGCACGGGCTCCAGACGCGCAGGCTCAGCGGCCGTGGCTCACGGGCCCAGCCGCTCCAC